AAGCACCCAGTAAGGGTTAGCCGTTACACCACAGTTGCATTGGACTCTCTCGATGTTCTTCAATAGAACAACATTTTCGTGCAACATTTTTACTTCAAACTTCACCTCGGCACTTGCACCTCTGGCAAGACTATTCTTGTTTCTCTTGCACATTGGATTCTCAACGCTCTGCTGACAGAGTCGATCAATACCTTTCAGGATTGTGTCTCCTTCCGCATCTTGGTTTATGTCCATCTCTTCATCTTGGCTTATGTCCACCTCATCCTGGCTTGTGTCCAGCTCCTCTTCCTGGCTTATGTCCACCTCATCCTGGCTTGTGTCCAGCTCCTCATCCTGGCTTATGTCCACCTCATCCTGGCTTGTGTCCAGCTCCTCATCCTGGCTTATGTCCACCTCATCCTGGCTTGTGTCCACCTCCTCATCCTGGCTTATGTCCACCTGCTCATCCTGGCTTGTGTCCACCTGCTCATCCTGGCTTGTGTCCACCTCCTCATCCTGGCTTGTGTCCACCTGCTCATCCTGGCTTATGTCCACCTCATCCCGGCTTATGTCCACCTCCTCATCTCGGCTTGTGTCCACCTCCTCATCCTAGCTTATGTCCACCTGCTCATCCTGGCTTGTGTCCACCTCCTCATCCTAGCTTATGTCCACCTCTTCATCCTAGCTTATGTCCACCTCTTCATCCTAGCTTATGTCCACCTCATCCTGGCTTGTGTCCACCTCTTCACCCTAGCTTATGTCCACCTCCTTATCCTGGCTTATGTCATCCAACTCTATATTTTGAGTATAAACCTATTTAAACTCCTGACCGGCAGAGTCGAAATACTTGACCTACAATTAACAATAGCCGGGCGCGAGAGGCGCTGCTGCCTTGCAAAATATAGAAAATTTACTCGCTTTACAAACGTCGTAGTAAACGAATGATGCACTTCGTCGGCTGATGATTTTCTTCCGATAAAACCTTGGGGCGAGTACGTCAGTTATCTCCCAGTCCTCAGACAACTGTATTTACACGCGAGAGCAATACGCTCGCTTTGGTGTTATTCCCAGTAAATCGCCAAGGTTCTTTTTAACACCTTCCAGGTTTTCCACCTTCGTTACGCCTCCGCCGGTCTCTGTCAAGGTTTAAACGAGAGTTTTAGGCAGTTCCAAGGGCCTGTCATTAAGACAATTATAGATGAACATGTTATAGTCTCTACTCTTGTTTTTCAGGGCATTAATGGCATCGTCTGGTAGCTTGACGCTGTTGAGCATGATCAATATTTTCCCCGGTGACGAACTGAGCCAATTGGTGGCTTTGTGGAGGCTCCGGGACAAGGCGGATCCTGACGGACACAAACACTTGCAAGACCTCAGTAAGAACCAGAGGCGAAGTTTCCTGAGCCACCAATCGTTCACGTCACATGTGTACAGATCATTGATAACTTTGACGCTGTTACTGTTCTTGTGAAACAAATAAGCTTATAACAAAGGCCGGGATTTGGTATTCTAGGCCAGAAATGTTTACACTACTCCCTTAATAACCTTCAGAATTTTTGGGTTTCCAAAATCGACAATAAACGCAACTTTAACGCGATCAAAACAGATCGTTGGCATCTACAAATTTGAACGTAGGGAATTAGGACTAGCCAAAGGCCTAATATGTTACTTCCTGCCACAAAAGTTGCACACGTAGAAAGAGCCGCCAGTCTTCCCATAGCGGTTAGCTTCAGCGCCACACCGACAACGGTACATGCTGTCGTGCTTCAGAGTAGGCATACTCCCCTCTAGAGCATCCACAAGAAACGTCACCTCCGCATCATAACCCTAGACACCCTAACTGGACTTATGCCCTGGGTCCAGGGGGTCCTCGGTCGCCTTACTTGCGCCGGTCAGGGGTGGCAACTCTTCAGTTAGATCTCTGTACTGAACAAGCTCGACCTCCTCCACCAGCTCGTCAAGGCGGTAATACTGCTTTGGCTAAAACATTGTCTTTGGTATAGAATTTGATTTTCCGTAAAAACGTCGAAGAGTGTTTAGTTAATATATACATATATCAGGTGAATTAAAAAGAGTATGGATGGAAGACACGAAATAAATTAGTAATTTTGGCTGTTACACCTGTTCAGTTCATCACACTTGAACACTACCTGAGCTGCAGTCCTAACTGCGATCATCATTATAAACGAGCCATACTACACAGTGAGAGGTTACGGGCTCACCATAGCCCGTGCTACATGGAACGAGTAGCTGAATCTATAACAACAACAACAAGCCTTCGGTAAGTTTGTGTGCAATGGGTTTAACAACTGCTTCTGCTCTCTGCCTCTACACAGGATCTTCGTTGGTGGTAGTGTTGGTGGTGTTGCTGGTAGTGTTGGTGGTAGTGTTGGTGGTGTTGGTGGTAGTGTTGGTGGTAGTGTAGGTGATGATGGTGGTAGTGTTGGTGATGTTGGTGGTAGTGTTGGTGATGTTGGTGGTGTTGGTGGTGTTTGTGGTAGTGTTGGTGATGTTGGTGGTAGTGTTGGTGGTGTTGGTGGTAGTGTTGGTGGTGTTGGTGGTGTTGGTGGTGTTTGTGGTAGTGTTGGTGATGTTGGTGGTAGTGTTGGTGGTGTTGGTGGTAGTGTTGGTGGTGTTGGTGGTGTTCGTGGTAGTGTTGGTGGTGTTGGTGGTAGTGTTGGTGTTGTTGGTGGTAGTGTTGGTAGTAGTGTTGGTGGTGTTGTTGGTGGTAGTGTTGGTGGTGTTGTTGGTGGTAGTGTTGGTGATGTTGGTGGTAGTGTTGGTGATGTTGGTGGTAGTGTTGGTGATGTTGGTGGTAGTGTTGGTGGTAGTGTTGGTGGTAGTGTTGGTAGTAGTGTTGGTGTTGTTGGTGGTAGTGTTGGTGATGTTGGTGGTGTTGGTGGTAGTGTTGGTGGTGTTGTTGGTAGTGTTGGTGATGTTGGTGGTAGTGTTGGTGGTGTTGTTGGTAGTGTTGGTGATGTTGGTGGTAGTGTTGGTGATGTTGGTGGTAGTGTTGGTGATGTTGGTGGTAGTGTTGGTGATGTTGGTGGTAGTGTTGGTGGTAGTGTTGGTGATGTTGGTGGTAGTGTTGGTGGTAGTGTTGGTAGTAGTGTTGGTGTTGTTGGTGGTAGTGTTGGTAATGTTGGTGGTGTTGGTGGTAGTGTTGGTGATGTTGGTGGTAGTGTTGGTGGTGTTGTTGGTAGTGTTGGTGATGTTGGTGGTGTTGTTGGTAGTGTTGGTGATGTTGGTGGTAGTGTTGGTGGTGTTGGTGGTAGTGTTGGTGATGTTGGTGGTAGTGTTGGTGATGTTGGTGGTAGTGTTGGTGATGTTGCTGGTAATGTTGGTGGTGTTGGTGGTAGTGTTGGTGATGTTGCTGGTAATGTTGGTGGTGTTGGTGGTAGTGTTGGTGATGTTGCTGGTAGTGTTGGTGGTGTTGCTGGTAGTGTTGGTGGTGTTGGTGGTAGTGTTGGTGATGTTGCTGGTAGTGTTGGTGGTGTTGCTGGTAGTGTTGGTGATGTTCCTGGTAGTGTTGGTGATGTTGGTGGTATTGGTGGTAGTGTTGGTGATGTTGCTGGTAGTGTTGGTGGTGTTGCTGGTAGTGTTGGTGATGTTCCTGGTAGTGTTGGTGATGTTGGTGGTATTGGTGGTAGTGTTGGTGATGTTGCTGGTAGTGTTGGTGGTTTTGGTGGTAGTGTTGGTGGTTTTGGTGGTAGTGTTGGTGGTGTTGGTGGTAGTGTTGGTGATGTTGCTGGTAGTGTTGGTGGTGTTGCTGGTAGTGTTGGTGATGTTGCTGGTAGCCTTGTTGATGTTATCAGTGATGAAGGTGTTATCACCACAGTTGATATCCTCACAGGTGTTTACAAAGGTGGTCTCACTCATGTCGTGTCTGTTATTGTTGACAGAGGTGAAGCTATTGTTTACATCCATTCCAGTACCATTATGCTTGGCCCTAGTAATAATACTAGTAATGTTATTAACGTTAATAGTATTCTTGCTAGTAATAAAGCTTTTACTAGTATGGATGATTATTATAGTATCAACAGATGTGGTCTGGACTAAGAGGGTATAGAACAGGTATGAAGGACCCAGCAAAGGTCCCCCGAGGTCACCTCAGAACCCGAGTTTTGTGAGTAGTGAAGTTGTCTTTGTAGGCATTGTGACTGATAAACGGATCTTCAATATGGTCTCTATTGTCGATTAGATTAATCTTCATTATCGTAAAGATTATCACTAATCACAATCAGTATCCAGGTTATGACTTAGTTCATACAGTGAGAAGTGAAGATGTTTCACGCCACGATCCATACTCAGAATACACACCATCCATACACTTAAATATATATATATATATAGAACTCTAATAATTATATATTTTTTAGACAACCCCCGATTCGGTTGCAAAGTACAATTGACGAATACATATTAGGGGACTGGGGTGGCAGCTTGAACGAGCCGAGCCTGAGGATAGGTTGCAAGGTTGTGGGTGGGGGGGGGGGGGGGTTGTACCCCTGTCCTCAGGCTCGGCTTGTGCAAGTTAACCACCGCTTCTAAAGACATATTTACAATAGTTAACATGATCGTGTGTTCAAAATCGACTTTTTCTTAAAAGAAATGAGTATTAATGTTTATTAAAATTGTATTGTAGAGTTGTGTAGCCTAGGGCAGGTTAGGTGCTTAGGATTGGTTGGCAGTTATTTTGAATATAAAGTATGTGAGGGAAGCGTTTAGAGAAGTTGCCATTCGAACGGCGGACGCGAACAAAGCATTAGCTCAAAATTCGAACGTCATTCGTTCTGAATCGTGTATAGGTGTTAATCATTCATAAACATGTAATTTGGCGGCTGTATTAACGATTTTAGCCCATTGTTTATGAGGACGGGGCTGCATCTTATACACTGAGAACTACGAGAGTGTGTTTCGAATGTTGGAATTGAGCAAATGGAGGGTGTGTGTGTGTTTGTGGGGGGGGGGGGGGAGGAAAAAACTTCGAACTTCATCCAGTTGTTAGCCAACATCTTGAGGTTGGGCGGAGGTCACAGGTCAGTTCCTCCAGTCATCTTCAAGAGAAAGGTTCTCCTTCTGTAATCAAGTAAGTCGCTGCAAGGTGAGCGCTTTTAACAAGGCGGTGGAAGTATATAGACATGATCTTGAAGTTATTGAGTGAATGTTTTGAAAGTGGTTTCCAAGCAGTTGGTGTAGGGTTCTTTAGTAACTGGCTTTAATGTCAGTTTTCAGTTCAGTTAGTAGTTTGCCCTAATTATTAACTTGCGTTGGTAGTTAACTCTCTCGTTTCTTTGGCTAGTGGAATCTCTAAATTTTTGGCAAAAGATTTATTACTTAAACATTTCCACTGGAATAATTCAAAAACCGCCTGAAGGTTATTCATGTACAATAAACTTCTTGTACAAGGCCAGGAGCAACTATTTTGCGGTTTGCCTACTTGCTCGTAAACCTAGGAAATTGCTGAACATGATAAATTTAATTAAAATAAAAAAAAATGCTTACTAAAGAAATCTGAGAACCAAATAAATGAACTTAAAAACAAATTTTAAGCCTAAATGTGTTAAAAGTACCCCAAAATGACACCTTACAGGCGTCACTGTACGGAAGCAGTTTAGCACATTATACTTCATTAGAGGCATAGTTGACACGGTTGCAGGGTGCAATAAAAAAAGCACTAGCAAACCTTAGTAATTATATCTATAAAATTCTGTAGATGTGTAAAGTAGTTTGCCTAGTCCAAGAACCTGACCTATGCTTGGTACAGGGTCGCCCCTACCTCCTGGAGTAGGTTCCAGTATATAATTCGGTGAATAGTCAAGAAAATTAATAACTTTTCTTGTCTCCCAGGATGGCATCTTCTCACAGTACCGCGGACTCTGTCAAAGGCGCAATCCTTCAACGTGAAGGTAAGTTGTGGATAAATAAAGTGGTCTACTTGCCGACTCTTGCTAGTAGAGGGGCTGCTATTGACTGTTTCTTTAGTGATTGGAGACGGTTCCCGAAATTTCTTCCTATTGGAGTAATCAACCAGGTACTAAGGGGGGGGGGGGGCTAGGCCTTCTATACCTTCATGAAGTCTTAACTGTCTTGCTTACCGTGTGAGCAAATAATTTTACTAATTAGAAAATTACTAGTTACTAAAACTAGTGTACTAAAACCTGATAATCTGAACTTGTCGAGCACACTCCCTAGAAGAACGGGTAAATTATCCAAGACTGCAATAAGTAATTATAGCACATCGTGCCGTGGTCTCTTAAGTACCAATTAAGCTTACTAGCTCACAAATGTAATGTTTTAAAAATTAACTAAAACTCCTTTAAGAATAAAAAGCTCTGGGGCTCACGGCGATCTTTTTAACTAGTATTCGGTGGAAACGGCAACTTTGTTAAAATTTAACTTCAGTGATTAGCAGTATCGACAGCTGGAAACTCTGTAATAGTTCGGTTATCTAGGCGACTTGTACTATAATTAAGCTAGCACTGAAGTTTTTTTTTTAAGTACTTACAATTTGTACTTGTCCCACAAATTTTTAATTCCTAAACTACTCATAAATGGCAAGTTTATTGTAATGTAATATTGCGTTCGTACTTCAACATAGGATACTGGCTCTTATGAGACACGAAGCTCATAAAGTCTTAAGTTTTAACGAGACTTTCATAAGTCTAGTATTGTACAATATGAAACAAAGCGTCCGAATAAAACATTAGAACACGCCCAGCGAAACAGACACCCAACCCGGAGATGGAGCAAAAAAAGGCGGTACAAAAAGAAATGACTAACATGAGACAGAGGGGAACACAACACGAGGGAAGAGGCTTACACCCGCACAACAGTACACAAACCAGGATACGGTAGAAGAAAATTACAAAAATGAAATGCCTGAACACTCGCCACAGAAACACGAAACGCCAGACCTGAAGGCCGGGGACAACACATGGACCTCTAAACAAAACGCTTGATTTATTAGGTATAAAAGTACAAAAAATAAACATAGCACCACGGCAATCCCCAAATTACAGGCCCGGTCCTGTGCCAGGCAAGTCTATGAGCTCGCCATAGCCCGGGCTACTTGAAATTTGTGTTCAAAGTAGCTGAATCTAAAACTGCCACGGGGAAAAAAAGGGCACACCATTTCAAACTATATAATGGAAACGCCCGCAAACTAACTTAATATGCATACTTTCTCATCGTCTTAAAGAGATGATTTCGGGGCTTAACGTCCCCGCAGCCCGGTCCTCGACCAGGCCTCCTGTTAAACTTCCCACCCCATGAAGCGGCCCGTAGCACCTACTTACTGCTAGGTGAACGGTGGCATCAGGGTGGAAACCCTGCCCATCCTCCACTAAAGTACATTCCATCCAGCGGTCGACCTCGCACGCATTCATAAAATTTAACATGTTCATTCAAAACGCATTTTCCCAAATTAAAATGCCATATTGTGCATACCTATGCATAGGTAAATTGTCTTGGTTCTGTTGGCTATTATTTGTATTACGTGGGTGAAGCACTTGTAGCCTTGTAGTAGAAAAATTCGACGGTGGAAACACTTGATCCGAAAGTGTTCGAACGTAAACAGTAGTACTGTAAAGTTTTTCATTCATAACGGGGTTTGGCAAGTGCGTAGAATCACTTCTGTGTCTTTATTTGGAGGACGGACTGAAACGATGCATACATGACTTGCAAACTTTGCAGCAATTTGCACGGGGCCATTCTTCCCCCCCCCCCCACCCCACCACGAGCAGTGGCTGGACTGGCACCCTGGCACAGGGTCCAACGGCCCTGACATTTTCTCCTTTATTGGTACTAAATTGCTATCCGTACGAGCGTTCACATCAGGCGGACATGCTATTACACTAAGCATTTCCAGTTGTCTAGTACCATACTGATCGTTGGTAACATGGCCACTTTACTCCATTTTTAAATGCCTTAAAATACTAATCCTGGAAACGTTGCAGATGAGCTCACAAAGCTGAAAAAGATTGGGATGGCGGCGGCGGTGGTGACGGCATTAAGCTACGGCTACGGTGAGATGACGATAGCGAGAACATTGTCTCCTGACCCGCGTCAGGAGTCGTGGCTCCTGATGACCTCTCCTCTGCCTACGCTATTTGCTACCTTTGTGTACATCGCTGCTTCTACCTGGTGGGGACCCCTCTACATGAAGCACAGGGCACCTTTCAGTGGGCTCAGGAACGTGATGATGGCCTACAATGCCATCCAGGTCGTCTATTCTGCTTGGATGTTCTATGAGGCAAGTTCTTGTATTTGTCTGGACTTTGTAAAGTATTAGTTCGTAAGAGTTAACGTTCTTAATACATCAACTAATGAGAGCATTTTAAGTGATATTTAAGGACCTAGTGGCTTTAACTTGCATTGTGTGACCAGAAAGTGAAATGCTCCCCCCCCCCCCCCCCCCCCCCAAATTCTCTTCTCCAGGGTGGCATGGCCGGATGGTTTGGCGACTGTTCGGTTTTCTGCCAAGCATGTGACTTCTCGGACGATCCTAAAGCCGTAAGGGTGAGTCTCTTGCTCTTTAAAGATTAGATATTGATTAATTAGTTCGGCTAAAATAAGTGGGGGCGGGCGGGAACTTTAACTTTAAAATTTCTAAGATAGTTTAGCTAGTTTCTAAAACTGTTTAAAAAAAATATTTTGCAGTGCAGAACTTGAGGTAGTCTTGACTGCCATTCTAAAATTGAAATCTTCAAAACTTCTCGTTTTCTCTAGTTATTTGTAAACTTAATCATATTACTTTAAAGCTGTACATAGCTGGGATTTTTTCTTACGCTGTATAAATTACATTCTTGTAATGCCTCTCTAGTAACTTAAACTTTTTTTCTTAAATAGAATAAACAAATTTGTTTTAAGGTGGAAAGTCTCCCCGTAAACAGATAGGCATTTTCCAAAGATTGGTCCTGCCGTCTTGACCTTCATTTAAACTAGTAATATAATTTAAGCTTAAGACTTTCTGCCTTGGTCAAGGTGATCTTAACAGTTATGACTAATCAGAATAACAGTAATACTAAAATAAGGCCCACAAGTGTTATGCAGAAACTTTAGCACGAGCATTAGATAAACTTTGTTGCAAAACTTTAAATCTTGTATTATCTTGTACTAAATTTTCTTGTAATTTTAATTCTTAAACTTTGCATAGAAAAGTTGTGGCATGTTTTCACTTTAAACAAGTAAGCAAGACTAAATTTTTTTCCATGCACTCTAAACGTGGTTTAGATTAGAAGTGCGTGCGGCTAAACGCCTGACGTGTTGGTCTAGATATTTCAATGTTAGACTCGTTTAGTTCTAGAGGTTAGAACTACCGCATTTGCTTGCTCGCCAGCCAGGAAATATTTACTCTAGACCATAAGTTTGATTAAAAACTAAAGTGAGATTAAAGTATAAATACCTTAATTCTGCTGTAGATCGCAGTTGTACCCAAGTCTTCGGCACTGGTGCCTCCCACTTTTGGGATATTTAAACTTTTAAAAGGCATTTTATATTTGTATTTATTTATATATATATCTGTATATATGTATTTATATATATATATATTTATATATATATATATTTATATATATATATCTGTATTTATCCTAGTTACCCCAATTAATACAAAGCATTTGGCGAGCCTGGAAAATCTTGATTATATACTAAAATTTCTTCTCGGCTGGCGTTCAATTTCTTCTTTTTTTGAAGGTGGTATCAAACTGACTACCTTTTATTTTTCTGCCTACAGATGATGCACTGCTGTTACTGGTACTACTTCTCAAAGCACGTAGACTTCATAGATACTGTGAGTACATAGCCGCCCCTCCAACCCCCATTTTCTAATTTGCAGACTTGGAAATGTCTAAATGTCGTGACAGTTACTGTACTTCGTACTAAATTTAAACGTTGCATATTTCGGAAAACTCGCGGGCACTACGTTGTATTACTAGTAAATATATTGTATAAATAAATGAATACGTACAACACGTAGAGAACCCACGGGCTTGGAGGCGCCAAGGAAAGTTGTCGAGTAAAGCTTTAAATTCCTTAACAGTGCTTTAAAGTTCCCAAGCCTTGTTCTACGAAGGTAAAATATTTGTCGGGTCTAGACCCGCACTTGTCTTCACTTCAGGTTCAGTAACTTTCTTGCAGTGACGTATTGTGGTAAATTCAGTTAAACTGAATTTGTCTAGTGGGATTATAAGTGATAAACATTTCACGCATTTATTTTGAAAAGTTTTACTAAATTATCTTCTTTGATTGTATAAAAAGATGACGGCCATAAATACAATAAGTAGGTACTCGCCTAATTGTGCTTGCGGGGTTTGAGCTCTGGCTCTTTGGTCCCGCCTCTAAACTGTAAAGAAACTGGTGTAGATTCCTGAGCTTACTGGGCTCTCATATCTATTTGAAACTGTGTGAGAGTCTGCCTCCACCACATAACATGTGTGAATGTTGCTGAAAACTGTCTAGCTTTTTAAAGTCTAATCTTTACTTTCATTATAGCTGTTCTTCGTGTTGCACAAGAAAAACAGCCACATCTCCCTGTTGCACATGACCCATCACAGCCTCATGCCCGTCAGCACCTGGTACGGTGTCCGCTATTACCCAGGTGAGTTATTTCATGTACAGAGTATAAATGTAAAACATAAAGGTGCAGATGTGTTTTGGAGGTAAGGTTACTGAAGTTGGTACTCAACCCGACTTAGAGGGCACAACAGGAGCTACTGGCTGCAGAATTTGAGGACGGATACTTTTAAAGTTCTGGAAAGTGAATATACCGTTACGCAGAATGTACAGAATAAATTGGTCTTTTTTTTATTTTTTTATTTTTAAAACTTTGTATGGTATTACATTGGTTTGTTTTTATTTATGTTTGCCAACTGTTTAAGTTACCTCAGTCTTGAACTGTTGCGCTACCACATAACGTAGACTGACTAATATGTACATAGCTGTACAGAAACTTAACTTGAAGTATAGTAAAGCTTTCTAGAACAACCTATCTAGAGATTATATATATATATAAACCTTAAATCCTTCGGTAAGCTCTCTACCTAATAGATTAAACTTGATTTAATTTGTACTACAGGTGGCCACAACACCCTCTTCGGCTTCCTCAACTGCTTCGTTCACGTGGTGATGTACTCCTACTACTTGCTGGCGGCCATGGGGCCCCGAGTCCGTCCCTTCCTCTGGTGGAAGAAGTACCTCACCGGCCTCCAGATTGTCCAGTTCATAATTGTGATACTACAAGCTCTCTTGGCAAGTGTTTGATACTAGTTCAGTACTAGATTAGCACGCTCACTCTTGTTCAAAATTTGGTCTTATTAATATCGTAAAGGAATTAAGACTTTACATGTCCAGTTATGAGTTTTGCTCCTTTAAAACTCTACGCTCCCAAAGGCTGGGGTGCTACATACTAGTGTAACTTCTAAATACAGGTGAGTAACCTAAAGGTATTCAATGTTTGTTTTTTGGATAATAACGGTAACTTGGCAAGTTGCTAGTACAAAACACTTGGCGGACTTTTGGTTAGTCTGATGCTCTTTAATGCTACTAGATTAAAGTTAATTCTTAAGTCCAAATTATTTTAACTTTGTACTAATAAAGTGCTAGACCAGAAGTTCCTTGGATATAAACGCCCCTCAATATTACCGTATTTTAACTTGTTAGTCTCTGTATATTTCTAATTTCTTTGATTAAGTATTTCAGAGTGGTCAGTCTCTGCTTTTTTAAACTAACGTTAGTATTCCTTTTTCTATTTGGAAAGTTCGCTCCACAAGCATATTGGACTAAAATTTTTAAACCCATAAGGTCCTTCAGGCCACTGAAGAGCGTGTAGAGGCGCCCTAAAAGCTTGGAAATGAAGTTGAGGCAAGCCTTCTATGACAAATTTTCAAATAAGGATACGAAAATTTAGGAATGGTACCTAACGTTTTAGTTTCCTATTACCTGGTTGATGCCTGGTTGATGGGGTTCTGGGAGTTCTTCTACTCCCCAAGCCCGGTCCGAGGCCAGGCTCGACTTGTGAGAGTTTGGTCCACCAGGCTGTTGCTTGGAGCGGCCCGCAGGCCCACATACCCACCACAGCCCGGTTGGTCCGGTTATTATAAAGACTACAGATTTAAAGCTTCAGAGCTTGATAATGTGGCATGAGGGCAGCTGGAACTCGCGCCCTCCATTAATTACTTCATTCGTCTATACATAGTTTTTTTTAAAGTCTTCCCTAAAAGACGTGGGACACTTGTAGACATGAATAAACTCTAAGCAAAATCGCGTCATTAAAGCAAGATTGTAAGGCAGTCGGCCTCTAGGTATAGACTAGATAATTTATCATTTGTCATAACGGTAAATTACATAGTTTTATACTCGATCAATACATCCCCCAAATGATTAAGTTTTCTGCCTCGCGACCTTATTAATGGCCCCCTTATACTGCGTAAAGGTCAGCTGTAGTGGTGTCTTCCATAGTGACACACCCCCTCAATTTATGGGAGGGGGGGGGGGGTCCACTACGGGTTGCCCTCTTAGGCACCCTTCCCCATCTCCCGAAGGTTGGGGGAAGGGTAATTGGGGTAATCTAGAGCTTGTAACAACGTAATTAATACAGGAATTTTGTTAGTTATTAAACAGTAACGTCCGTTTCTTCGCACTTGGTACTGGAGGTAGATGTAGTTTGCCTAAAGAGCACAGGAAGATGACTTTTGGGGGGGGGGAGAATCTGAGACCCCTGTTTGAACAAAAGATCTTTTATATACTTTATTTAAAGTTTGGGATGACGCAATATATCTTTGAATGCTCTAATGAGTGCGAGGTTGTGTTGCAGATGCTCTTCATAGAGTGCGAGGCGCCTCTCATCGTAGCCCACTGGGTCGGCGTCGTCGCTATAGGGTTCTTGGCACTATTCGCAGACTTCTTCTACAGCAGCTACACGGTAAGCACCAGGGTAACTGTGAACTCTTACCTAAAGTAGAAATGCTTTCGATCTTGGTAGCCAAATGAGTATCTCAAATTTACTATACTAAATTATCAAGCTTAAATCTTCTAGTCTCAAGTTTTCCAGAATTGACGGGGGGAGGAAATGTACTAGTTTGTTAAAACTAAAGCTTAAATTTCCACTTTAGGACTAGCAATCGAAGTCACACTATCTTGGTTATCTTTAAACCTTAAAGCAGCAAGAATCCTAATCATTTGTTATAAAATTCAGTGTTGAAGCGTCTTAACTGGTTTGTCAATTTATTCATGCCGGTATTTTAACTTTTCTTTCATATAAATAGTTCAATGGAGCTGAAGTTACTAAGGGTCCTAATCCTACCTCGAAGGAAAGTAATCTTTAAAGTGGCCCATTAGTATCTAGGCTCAAAAGATTCAACGTAGGAGCATCGTGAAACTTTGTACTAGTTTCCATACAACGCTGACTTTGTATGGAAACCTTTACACTACAATGGTAACCGGTGTCACCTTGATGCAACTTTAATGTTGATCTATTTCACTTTCTTAAGATTGCAGTCTAAAACTTTCTTCTTTGCAGGCGATGGGGACTGTATCTAAGGAGGACTAAGTGGCATAGACTGTCTGCGATGGAGCCTTAAGTCTTTCTATTACTTGTTAATTATCCCTGATACTGTTCTCTGAAATTAGCTAGTGTGAAAAGTTGTCTTGTATCCTCGGTAGGTCTGGATAATTTGGTCCACTGGCTTCAGTTTTATTGTTTTCTAGTTTTAATTTATTTTAGGTCTTAAATTTTATTACGGTGCACTTTAAATTTTAGTTTGTTAAATATTTGCGAAAATTTGTCCTTGGGCAATTGTAAAGAACTGTAATTTTTGTTTATTAAACTTAAGATATCTATAATGTCAACCAAAAATTTCCTGACTAAATTAACTGGTCATATGTTGTTGAAAAATAAAGATTACAAATAAATTCTTTGGTTTATTTTACAAAGTTTTGTAATACGCACTTCGTCAACATGGGTAAAAAGCGCTCACGGTTGGGTTATCAGTGTTAAGGTAGACATGTTGGATATTAATCCCGACTTGCGCTATAGATTCCCTAATTTCGTCTTGGCTATAGACACCTAACAGGTTAATGAGGCAGAGCAAATACCACAATATTCAGCTCGTAAACTGTGAAATCTTTAAGGCAGTCACTAGAACACATTATTGACAAACTGTAAAATATCTTGGACCTAGCCTATTGTACAATACTGTCATAGAATCTGGTGCATTGGAAGACATTCTAACAATTCTAAATTTGCTTGTCTATATCAACGAAAGGGGAACAAAGTAATTATCAAAGACTCCAAGCAAGAATGGGGAGAGAATTTAAGCTGAATCTCTTGTCCCTGTCCTGTGTGGCAGTAAACGGTTGCATTTACAAATTCGCTAAAAATGTAAATATGATTGTAGTATACTGTGACCTCATGAAATAGAGTAAACCTACAATTTGGTAAGGTATGATCCTCCGTCCTGTGTGGCTGTGAATAAAAGCGGCATCCTCTCTACAATACAACCAAACAGTTACTAAGATTAGGCAAAACTGTACATTAATTTAGTAAATTCCAGCAAACGTCCATGGGCCAGATTCACGAAGGTGCTTACGAATGTTTTACTTCTTGGCGGCTACGTCGGTGTTCAGGTAGCTACACCAAGTCGAAAATCCTTCGTAAGTTTGGTCCGGGATCTAAGTGTGCTGTCAGGCACTCGTAGCTTTACGTAAACTGGATATAACTCAATTTTTCTCTACTACATAACACTGGGATCGATTTTAATATAACAAGATTATTAGTTGGCGAATCTCGAAGAAGAGTCCTTCGTGTTAGTTATATATGCATTCTCTGCTTGAAACTTGAAGTAAATGTCTTTTATGATAGTAGAATTAGTTTTATAATAAGATACTATACCAGTAGTTAAGTAAATAAACACTGGTGAACATGAAACCACAAAAGGTAAGCACTGAATCATGGAAACTTTATATTATAACTACTCTTACTAGCTTCTAAAAGACTCCTCTCAAGCAATATTTTTAACACGCTTAGGTATACACAGCAATGTGCTGCTTCCCTATTCTGTATGAAGGATTACACAGTGTAGATCAAAAACCAGCTACAAGCTCATCCAACATCCTCACCTCACAGGATGGCCACCATACATGGAATTAGGAGAGAACAAAATACTAAAGGCTGATCTATTACCCGCCAAACACACACCGAAACTACGACGTTGGTACAACGTTCGAACAAGTTTTAACACCTAACCAGTTATAACAACCAATATAGCAAGTTGTAACAACGTTCTAATACGTCATAAACACGTTAAGCCAAGATGTAACAACTTTATTACAAGTTGTAACAAGCGGAAAATAGAGACAGTTTCGGTTTGTGTTTCCAGGCTATAGCCTCCACGGGCAAAATCTGGGTGCAGCACAAGAATATCTTCCAATATTCCTGAGTGTATGATGTAATTAGAGCTCAAAGTGCCTCATACCATTTGGTATGAAGTCACTGATAACAGGGCAATCACACAGTGTTGGAGAGTATGTTCTCTCAAGTAGGACTGAAAACAGATTTTTTTTTTTTTTACCCAGATGGTTAAAACCCATGGAACCGCCTACCCGCTGAAGCCGTACCTGCCAAAATCCAGCTAGAAAATATCATTAGGACAATTGGCGGGACTTGACAAGCCCCTGGCTTTTTGTCCTCGTCGAGGCCACTAGATAGATAGTGACCCTTGGGTAAATTTAGGAAAATAAATACGTAAATAGATACCATCGCTTCTAAAGTCTTGGGAGCGACAAGGGGAGCTATACACTATCTCTTAGAATTACGTAGGTAAACAAAAAATGTAACATATTTGTATACTACAATGTCGGTGCTGACTGTACAAGTTGAAAAAACATTGTTTTACTTCGAAATATACTAATTTTATAAGAAAATTCGACGTAAATATGTCGCAAGTGGTCACGGATAAGCTCCGATATGGCAGCGTCGTGATTGGCTACAGCTGTAAGATGAAAAATGTTACCTTCTCTCTGATTGGCCAAACTAAAAGCCTAGTGACATCTAGCGAGACCTAAGTGAACTACTTAGAAATCTTCGTAAGTTTACTTCTCTGAATCGCTCTTTGGCGCGTTCTTAGCGGGCACTTAGGAACCTTCGTAGCAAACCTACTTACGAAGAAATCAACCCGTCCTCGACTTAAGTACATTACATCCATACGACATTCAGCGGTCGACCCCACAGACGCATTCATAAATTTTAACATGCTGTTCATTCAAAACGGGAATTTTCGCAAGTATAAATTAATATTATAATATATTAGCATATTGTGTATATATAGGCATAGGTTAGGTTAGGTGTTTAGGTTCTGTTGGCGATTATTTGTATTTGTAGTACGTGGGTGAAGCATTTATAGCGTTGTGATTCGAACAAAATTCGTCAGTGAAGCACTTGTTCCGTATATGTTCGAACGTCAGCAGTTGTGAGTCGTGTGTAAACTGCTTTTCATTCATAAACAGGGGGTTTGGCGGGTGGATGGAATCACTTTTGGATCTTTGTTTGGAGGACGGGCTGCCTGGGGTGTAATTTTCAGTTGCATATTGGCTTGGGACCCATTCAAGCTTGTTCGCATATATGTATATAAATATTTGTATTTTTGACAAAGTATGACCACGAAGGAAGGATTAAGACAGGGAATCACTTAAGTAATTTTGTTCTTAATAACTGAATACATGTTCCTGAAGATGTATTAAATACTAAAGTATTTAATACATAATGTTTATTAGGCTTGTATCCAGGTTCCGCCAAGGTCGAATTACTAACCCTCCCCCCCCCAGGATGCAACACAACAACAGTTGTTCCCGGTTACCTAGTTACTGCAAGGTGAACAGGTGCATTAGGTGACAGGAAACGTGGCCAACCATTTCTATCCCACCCGGGATTCGAACCCGAAATTCCTGAATGAGTCGAGAAGGAACCAAACTGTACTCCAGGAGAGTGTACAATTAACTTTCTTAAGAGATCGTCGTGAACAGTTACCGGTCTGTCGACGGGTCTTCTTATAGACAGTAAGATTTGCTCCCAATTCGGGGATCAGGGAACCCGCTCAACTCGCGTGGCCGAAGCCGTGTCCAGCACTCGGGCTCGAACACAGGGAGGAGGAGACCTGGGGGGGGAGGGGGGGCTAGGCGTGGCCGCCTTAGGCTAGCAACTTGTAGCGGAGAGTTCTGGGGATTACCCGAGACCCTATTTTTCATTCCTAGTTACCTGGGGATTTCTGCTGGTCCTTTAAGTTCCTAGTTTAGCAAATGCGCTAAATTATTGTGAACATTGTCATAGAAATACACATTCGTTTAATAATTGATAATCCGAAGATCATGACGGGTATCTATGCCCCGATAGCAGGAGTTGACTAATTTGATTAACTGCATTGTCTTAACTGCTGTCTTAACCGATATCCTAACTGCCGTCTTAGTCTCAGGTGCCGTCATCACGTGGTGTGTCTATAGATATAACAACACTACAGTTAAGAGAGTGCGCATCACAATAGCCAAAGCGGCTATAGTCGAACCTTAGAGTTGGAAGGGACAAATGGTAGTGGCATTAGGAGGGGAAATAATATAATTCCCGTTGTCGGGGACTAGAAGCCTGTGTATATGTATACATAGGCTGTGTATCGGGGTCACCCCCCCCCCGCAAAGTGGAACTACCGACCCTTCAGAGGATGCAACCCCACAACAGTTGCCTAACACCCGGGTACAACCTATTTACTGCTAGACGAACAGACGCATGGGATGAAAGGAAAAGTGCCCAACCATTTCTGTCCAGTTCGGGCATAGGCCCCGGGATCCCCCAATTGTGACTCGAGAATGAAGCGACTCTTAGTTACGACGTCAAAAGTAATGACAGATATACCTACCTAATAATACAAGTAGTTGCCCCCAGAACTAGTAGCTAGTTCAGGTTAATAGCCATGGAAAAAAAGAATAGCGACCACCAATGCTTGGTCAAACAAGGTATCACATAATCCAGCCCACAAACGCCTGCCCCTGGCGGCGTTTGTGGGAAACTCGAGTATACCCTGGGATATATGCAGCATTTGACCATTGCATAGGATGCCATCATTACCAACAATGCACCATTATAACCGCTAGATTCTGCGGCTACTAGTTTCATTAGCCCGAGAACTAGTAGTTGCAGTAGTGAAAGACTAGGAAGGACGGCAAAACGGATTAATAGCAGGCAGAAAAGGATAGGTTTATAAATAATGTAGTTACTTTGGGTGTGAACCGTTTTTTGGACACCTGGGACCTTCCGGCCCACTCCTTGTAGTGGCCTTGCGGCGCTAGTGTCTTGGCCTTGGAAGACGAAGATGCTGGAAGAAGATAAGACCACACTAAGACACAATGACTAGTGTCCCTCGCTGGTATCAGCAGCGTTGCAAGGAGCGTAATGCAAGACAGGATCATTTGTCTTAACTTACCGCCGCTCCGACAAGCATGTCGCTCTCTTAATTCCATTTGTCTCCTTGCGGATATTTTCCTCGTACTGCCCCTGGCGGCGTTTGTGGGAAACTCTAGTATACCCTGGGATATATGCAGCATTTGACCATTGCCCAGGATGCCACCCACAACAGGCTGCAAAACCTCAAGACGGTTGTTGGGTCTCGCTTCATGCCGGTCGGCGTTCAATCCCCGACCGTCCAAGTGGTTGGGCACCATTCCTTCCCTCACCGTCCCATCCCAATTCCTTATCCTGACCCTTTACAAGTGCTATACAGTCGTAATGGCTTGGCGCTTTCCCTTGATAATTTCCTTCCCTCCCAAGGTTTATATTGATCTCCGAAGGTTCCCGAGATTCACTACGGGCTCACCATAGCCCGTGCTACTTGGAACTTGTTTCGAGTAGCTGAATCTATAAAAACAAC